ATTCAATCACATAAAGTTGAAATTGATGTACAGACACTTTAAATTTTAATATTTATTTACGCACGTCTATTCATCTCGACTACTGACGCACCTCTCCAATTTTAATCAATGTATTATAATTTCAGTATCTCTCGTCCTGCTTGTGAGCGCGTTAGCATCGGGCATGCGTCGCGGACCTCACCATCCACAAGGACAGTCTTCTAAACACAACCACTACCGGCCTAGAGGCGATCGACCGTTGACCGGCGAGAGTCAAGTACTACATGATATAAAGTAAGTCTGATTTGTCGAAGCACTTCATGATATAATCTACGAGTAGTACACGAGCGAGCGCACACCTTGTAAACTATAGCACAACTGTTGTGCGACTGTCGATTGTTTAGCCCAATCAACTGTTTAGTTGCACAACTAAAAATCGAGTAGTGTACGCCCCTCCATATATGCTCATAGGAATCAAAGCGCGACTAAACAGTTGTGTAATAGTTTAGTCAAAGGTGTGAGCGCCGTAAACGTTTACTCCGTAAATCTCATATTGTTTTCGTTGTTTTTTTCAACATAATGAGTAGGGTTATTTTTTTATTGAATTATAACGATAGTGGGTAACGTTAGTAAACATGTCACGCACTGATTACCATCAGCTAACAGTCTCTTGGAGTTACTTCATGGACGGAAACGTCGACAACTTGTTTCAATTTGTCTTACGCACAATGAACGGACTCTAATAATTACTAAATTACACATTCAGTGTCATATTAATTTTCACTTCTTACTGTCTTACAAATTTTATAAATGCGTAAGTATAGATGGATGGATGGGTGTTTGTTATAGTTTGTAGCCTACATTTTAAATTTGAGATATTCCTACAGGACCTAGAAGTACATAGGCTACTCACTTTTGTTTTTCTTTTATTTCCACGCGGATGGAATCGCGGGCGAAAGCTAGTATTAAAATAAAATCGTGGCACTGAACGTGTTAACTTTATTTCTTAACCGCGAGTTTTCTCTGCCATTAACATTAACAAAATATCGTATAATATATTTTATTATCTTTACAGACATATAGAAGAGGACTCAGAAGTGCTAACGTCTGACGCTATATCAAGAATGACGCCTGAAGAGTTAGAGTTCCATTATTTTTCTGCTCACGATTTTGACAGAAATTCAAAATTAGACGGACTTGAATTATTGAAAGTAAGTAAAACCACAAGCTATTTGTAGATATGTAGTCGCGGAAATTCGCGGTGTTTTACTTCAGGAAAAATTGCCTAGTTCATGGCAACGAAACAAATCCGCCTTTTCTACATGTAACTAATTAGATAATAGTAAGTGTGCAAACGAAGGGTTATTAATAAAAAGAAACCAGCCGTGTGTCACGAATCGTGTTGCTTTTTGTTTTATGCCGCTTTGAAATCAAACGATTGTAGTGGACACCACCATTTTCCCTGATTATACATGAATTTAAATGTATCTGATTTAATTTGTTTTTTTACTGTAATGGAAATATGTTTTTACAGGCAGTGTATCATACGGTAGACTATGAAGATCACGATCATGAGTCAGCGTCAATAGAACCTGAGACAAACGATTTAGAATCGTACATAGGTATGTATATTATCTTACATATATTTTTTAATAATAACGGAAATCCAGCTCAATTCTTACAGAAGGAGCCAGAGATGATAGACTTCTATGTTATAAGGTTATAGCCAGTAGTGGTGTTAGGGTAGTACTCGCATTAGGTGACTGCCCGAGGCGCTAGATAGAAATGGGCGCTATAGTTCTGAATTACACTATCTCACGTATCTCTGTTTCCTTCCATAAGGCATGGTAAAAAGAGCTAGGGTAAATTGCCATTTTTATTGTAAGCTTCTAAGATATATGTATGAACGACTTAATCGATTTTTCACAATTAAGTTTCATTTCATTTGTCCCAAGAGAATCTCTTACATCGTGGGCTTTTTTCTTTTAATAATTAATATACTCTTGTTTACATTTCAGATCTAGTGGACCGTACTCTAGAGGCAGACGACATGGATGGCGACGGCTACGTGTCGTACGCAGAGTACCGCGCAGCTCGCGCCCGCAGCAGAGGACAACGAACACACAGAGTGCTTGCTGACAATTAGGCATACTAGTTACAAAGTTATTTAAAAAATATATAGACTAGACAGGGAACAAGATTTTTCACCGGGAACTTCTTTGTACTTTAATTTTAGTTCCTTTCCGCCTTTATCTTAAGAGGAAAGGATGGGAAGGAATAGTGGATTTGACGGTGGAGGAGGAGTTTGACATAGGAAGGGGAAAAATTCTCTTTATGCGCGTCTCCTCCTCCGTAACTTAAGGGTAGGCAACGCATCTGCAATTGCGGATGTTTATGGGCAGCGTCGCTTTTCATTTCGGTGGATTCAGGTGGCCGCTTGCTCGTTTGCCACCTTATAATAAAATATCTCAATGTTAAATTAAACACGCCGAGACGCTACTCGGTGGCTGAATTTGTTGGACTCAAATAGTGCTTAATTATACGTGAAAAATGTTTAAAGTAAAACCTCAACTATGCCTACCTATTCTATATATTTTTTGAATTTCTTTGACTAGTTTACAGTGGTTCTACTGTTGTAATATACCATATGTTTTGTTAACATTATTTTTGTGTCTGTACAAAAGTATGTGGCAAAGAACTGTATACATAAGGTTAGGTTAACATATCAAATAGGCAAAGAATCGAAGTAAAGTTTTAAATGCTTTTCAAACAGTGATATCGATGTTAAATTGATTTCCTGTATTTGACTTAAGAATGATTTCCTGAGGGATTTAGATACGGTAACTGACATTTGTAAGTTCCTGCAGTTTGGTTAATGAAGAAATAAAATTTTATTACATTAATTTATTTCTTAAATCTATTTTAAAACAGTGGAGTTTTTTTATGGAACCATAAGATATAAAACATAATTCTTAAGTAATTAAAAATACCCATATTAGTTAAATAATTTCATTTGCAGACAATATCTTCTATTCGCATTTGTATATTTTATCGCAGGGTTTGCCTTCCTCACCCCACGTCGACGCTTGCTTGATACCACTGTAAATAATCTCGTATTCTTGTAGATCGACGCTGTTACTGAAAGAATTTTTTTTCTTTATTACTTCCTTACATACTTAGTAAAAAAAAAGACGCTTTTTTAACGGACTTTTATGACGGAAATTCGTTTTAGATGTCACTTTCTTTCACGTGGTATTTAAGCATTACTTCCTTCTTTAAAAACAAGACATGTCATCCATACCCTTGCCATAGTTTAGCTCCTTGCAGCATAAGTTCCGCGGCCGATCCGTACAGCGACCCCTGGCGAGGCTTCTGGCAGGCGAGCCGGTACAGGCAACCATAGTCTTTGCTCTGCTCTCCCCGTAGATAACTCAAGTAGAGAAGAACTTCGTCTTCCGTGAGATAGGTGGCGTTCTTATTCTCTGCGGATATAAAAAATATCATTACATTATCGGTTATTTTAGTTTCAAAGGCTTCAATAATTGCTTGAAAAAATGAAGAGGCGAGTGAAGGTACAAACATGTTTTAAAATTTGGAATTGCAACATTCGCACTCAGAGTAAATTAATGATTGCTTTAATATTCGTTTAGTGCGGATTTTCTTTGTTAGTTTAGTTGAGTTCCTTAGGTACTGTGGTACTCCGAGATTTTCTTTTTTTATATTAGCTGTTAATTTTAATTACAAAAAGTTACTAAAAAATTGTACATGACATACTTATAAATAAGAACAATTACAAAGGTCTTGAACACCTAAGTACGTAAGTTTTTGTGAGTGGTCATTTGTCGCGTGTGGTGTCCAGCGGCACACCGGGAGGGATTATCCCTTTCGGATGGGATTATAGAGTGGACACGACAAACGCATCGCGATCTGTATTGGATTATTGTGAACTGGGCAGCCGCGGCACGTGGCGGACAAAGGGTTAAGTAGCACGAGGAAGCAGATGTGCGAAGAATTCCGTTTCCTGGTTATTATTATACTGCTAATTAAAAGGCATTTAAAGGGTTCCGTTATTAATGGGCCGATGATTAGTAGATTTACGTTTTAGAAGGTTGGACGTTACCTAAACTTAAAATAATTACATTAAGCATTACAGTGTCCTTTTTCTTTTAACATTTGTGTTGGAGTTCAGTAATACGTAATTCGAAGTGTTATATATCTTTTTTTTAAATATATAATTTAGTAATAACTAGAGACAAATTCAATAAAATTTAGAATAATTCAACTTAGCTACGAAGCAAACTTTAGTTAGAGAGTGTTTATATATTTTTTTACATGTTTATTAAAATATATAATCTCTTACCGTCTATGCTACGTCCATAATGATGGCCCTTCCACGCTCCGGCACCGAAGAAACCAGCAGCCAATATTAATGCCTTTAGTATGATTAATATCACCAAGTTTGTCAAGTTTAAGCTGAGAACCTATTGAGAAAATTATGTATTTATTAAAAGGACAAAATGGAACAATGTGATCTCATTATGGGATGACATTATTTTAATCTATCAAGACTAGACGCTTAAGCTCTATCTGAATAAATGTACTCTTGGACTTCAGTAAATTCATGTCCATTACAATTAATTTTGTGTTAAATTATACCTTTTACTCATGATATTTTTCAAATCAACATGATGCTATGTCATTAAAAAAAATCGTTAAGGTTGAAAATACCTTACCATTTAAACTGGACTATGAGTAATACGATACAACAGTCCTTAAAAGTTTCCCCGAATTCAATGAGTCACAAAAACAACAAAACATTTCAAAAGAAGCAAACCCATGCATTGCGTGCGATTTACAACGGTAGGTGCGATACGAACCTGCGTAATGCAGTCAAAACCAACCTGGCTGCTTCCAGTAGACCTCGCTATGAAGTCCTTCGCCAAACTAGACACGACCTGACCTCCGGCGTTGCTTAGTAAATTACCAGCTGAATCCAGTAACGAAGACCTCCCGTACTGAGTTGTATCATTAACGCTATCGAATCTGTCAATCGAAGCGCGATTAAACGGTATCGGCGGCTTCTCTTGGGGCAGAAGTAAACTTGTATCGAAAGACATTTTCGGGAACATCTTCTTAGCGTACTGCGGAGAGGAATATGCTCCTGAATGTTCTGCAGCGACCGCGAACGTGCAAAACAAGAGACCGTACAATACAACCATTTCGGGACGTGTCTAAGACGATACTGTTCAGGAAACAGGTAGTGTTCCACAATAGATTGCGATAGGATTTGCGAGGGCTCATACTCGTTTCGCTATTTTATCTCTTCCGAGCGGCTTTTGTTTGCACGCACGATGACATCTCCTAATGGTGCTATTGTTTGTTATATTTTAGTGGCAACAGAACATTTTGTCGCATTGTTTTGCTTGATGCGTTTGTTGGTTTGTTATATTTTCTTTCTACTTAGGAAGAACTATCAGTCAAAAATGTATTACAGTTTTTAAGAGCACTTTATTACGAATATTACATTAATTGTACTCTATCTATATCTTAATGATCTATGCTTCTTTGAGGTATCTTTCAGGCGCTGAAATGTTTTTTCATCGGTATTAATTTAGTTTTCATAAACACTATCTTTGCAATCAAAGAATAGTACTAAGATATTTGTTGTTGGTATTCAATCTATCTAATCAACATACGAGTTTTAAAAATGATGAGCACAATAATCAATTACGACATACCGGAACGTTACAATGGAAACTTTAGTTCCGTAACATAAATGTAATAGTTATGTGGAGCGATGACACTTTTTGGTGACAAAATTACTATATTACATAACTAATGTCTTTGACCGCGATTTATAATCATGATAAATATGTCACAGAATATCACAAAATTTTGTTTAGCGAATAACACGACACTAATTAATAATTATTTGAGAATTAAGGTATTGTTAATTTCAGTATATAAATACCAGGAAGAATCTATGTATCTACGATAAATTAATAAAAGTCTCATATTCAGAGACATTTTTTTATGTATCATGGTATCGTGGATGTGTTACATTTTATTTATTTAACTAGCTGTTCCCGTGCGGCTTAATCCTCATGAAATTAAAGTTGTCAAATTCTCAATTGCAAATATCAAAATACCAATTACCTCACTATTAATTTTGCTTCCTTGATGTTGGCAGCAACTGATGGTCTCTTTCCCACATTAGGGTTTTTATCCAAAATATTTACCCCCTAAGTTTAATAGCGTGAAAAATATAGCCTAAAGCGTAACGTAAGTGTAGGGCATTTATTAAAAAAAAAGAATTACTCAAAAATATGTTGTAATTGCTGACATCTTAGGCAACAAAGAAGTGTGTGTTGTTACATACACTTCTTTGTTTAAAAGTATTTTGTTGAAATCTATACTATTATACACTTCTTAGTGTTCAATACTTTTTCATACATTAATATTCGTATACTTGGTGCCATTAAACATGTAATGTTTGTTTTCATAGAACAGAAGGAGAAACTGTTACGTTTCAATGCCAGTACAAAACAGTAATAATTGGATAATGTTCTACATCATGGAGTTTTCACTCTTACCATTTTGAAAGAAAACAATGCATTCATTTAAATTGTTCAACTTTCGTAGTCCGATGGGGGTATGAAGAAAATACCGGGATAAGACAGTTGAGTTTTTGATCAAGCGCACTTCAGCAAGAAGCTTGTAAATTAATAATAGTTCGTTCAAACGTCAGAGAGGCTGAACAGATCTACATGAGACACCGAGATAGTTTTTAGAATAAGAAGTTATGACTACAACCTTACACGGACAAAATCGCGGGCGATAGCTCGTAAGTAATGAAAGGTACTACCGAACAGTGCCATCTACAATTTAAAGCTGTAACTACAATTTCAAGTTAAAACGAAAATATAAATACTAGGTATGATTTTACTTCATAGATGGCGTTTTTTAAAGTTGCAGCTTTAATATAACTTGCAAGTTTTTTGTAGGAGTTTTAATATAATATTCTAGGTGTCAGTGTTATGAAAAAATTGTACAGCGTTTTTTTAGTATCTAGTAATTTATTTATTGTATTACTTTATCGCTGGCAAAAGTTTTTTTATAAAATAAATAAAGTACTAATGTCATTAAATTTTATTTAGTACTTCGTTTCTGGGTTTTTTAGGATTTACCTCGGCATAGCAATAATTTTACGGATTCTAGTAAAATATCTTTCCTCAATTATATTTGTAATTTACGTATTTGTAATTATACAAACATTGTAACTGGCGTTCATAGATTTATGTTTGTTAATATTTTGGCGCCATTTTACAGTCATGCGCCATGACAGATGTAAAAGCGCGGCAAAACGTAAGCGCGGGCGGTCTGTTCCGCGGTCATTTCTCCGAGCTTCGTGAGCGCTGCGCGGGCGCGTGAGAGCGAACAGTGAAAATGTTTTGGTATCAGAAAGTGAAACCGGGTCTTGACCGCCAAGATTACAAATCTATAGAGAGGTTATACATTTTTTATTTTAACTGTATTTTACAAAAAAAAAAAAAATAAAGAAATCTAAAAGGAAAGCCAGTATAAGGAGCGATAGAAATAGAAGTTAAAATCGTTAAAATTAGTTGAATGATGTCTAAAATAGGATAAATATTTTGATATTAGTAATTCCTGCAAGTTATGCCTAATACGGCTCAGTATGTTACTAGATTAGGTTTAATTCGCGTACCAACGATAATCTAAGTTACATAAACAAAGGTCAAACTAACGTAAATATTGTTTAACGTCTGTTTATTTTGCTAACTTGTGTAGTTAACAATTTATTAACAGCAGGTAATAAATGTGATAATTTGTTTATTTTTACTACGATATATGTGCGTAATTGTATTATTAAAATGTCAAATTACTGTGACAGTAGACAAAAAATATTTTTACAAAATCCAAAACCACTCCATAGCTTTCATGTTCTATAACTTTTTGTTAGTTGTTCACCGTTTTGTTATATTACACGGAAAGTGTTTTTGTCTTGCTCTTATAACATTTACCGTCAATTACGCTTTCGAACTTTACGGCGTGATGCAATTGTATTTGGTAAGTGTGACGACATTCGTAATGCAGAGTTCCGGCAGCGTTTTTCATTTATTTTCATATTCTAGTCTATGACGACTATTATTCTAACCATTGATATACCTAATAATTTATTTATTTATTTAATTCATGTTAGATAAATTACACATAATTACAATTGACACAAAATATTTACAATTGAAAAAAAAAAATTACAAAACATGTGCGCGTAGCCAGAAGCCCATAATCGAGCAGTTGGGCTTGTCACTTAAATTATGTCGTCACGGATTAAAAACTTAGTAAGTAGCCAATGTGTTCTTCTAGTCTACACTTTGTTCTACAAATTTCATCGAGAGCATCAATAAACCAATATAAAAATAAATAATAATATAAAAATAAATCCACCTATCTAAACTTTTGTAATTATAATATTAGTAAGATATATGCGGTTTTTTACGTTTGAGGTGTAATCGGGAGTTGTATTTAGAAATGTCATCTTCTATCGTAAATGACTATTAAAGAAATTTACCCTTTCCATCCCCCCATCTTCGGAGGCCTTTTCTAAACGAGGTTTAGGCTGAGCGCCATCCGCGTTCGGCCACCTCAGGCACGGTGGAGCCGTAAATGCCTCTTCAAGACAAACAGTGACAACTCAGTCCCAAAAAGGCCTTTTCTGGTCTCTCTTTTATGTTCTGAATTTTGTAGCAATGATTCTAATTTCTAATATTAAGGCGATATCTTAAAATCGATCGAAAAGGTGACACTGATTGTGTCGGTCTTAAAGTTTTTAAACTAATTACTGACCCAGTAATGTTAACGTTTTTAGGAATGCTTTAAGCCACACGAACCGTACAAGTAATTTTCGTGAAAATATTTTGATGAAATACCGCTTTTTAGGCGGCTTAAATTTCATTAAAATTCCTTCCGTATTACACCAAAAGATTACAAAAATACTTTGTGCTCTTCAATGTCGGCAATTCTTGTAAGCAGTTGAAATATTATTTCATCTTTATAAAAAACTAGCTCTTGCTCGCGATTTCGTCCACGTAATATTAAGAATAAATAAGTAGTACATAATATGCTTGTCTATGTCACCTACCCTTCAGTGAAAGTCCCGTCGATTAGCCGAAGCAAACGCGGCTTGCGGGCAGACAGACAGACTGACAGAAAAATGCGATTTTCGTTATGAGCAAAGCAAATAGATCATGTTCCCGAAATCTGTAATTTTCCTTTTGATATTACAAACAGACACTCCCATTTTATATTTTATGTAAACAAAATAAATTAATTAGTCAAACACTTAGAAGTATCAAAGAGGCGTTTGTAGGATCTGAGGATATTTTTACTACGTAATAAAAGCTTTACCTATTTTTTTATGATAATTGGATTAACATTAATGAGTTGTAATCATTGTTTTTTATGTTTTTATGACAAACTATGTTATAATACAATTGTTTCGTTAGTGGAAACCCGTTACAAACCATAATGGAATTGTAAGTGAAATCATATTTAGAAATTGTCAACGAATTCAATTTGGAGAGTTTTTAGAAAGCATAAAGGAATCGTCTGGCGTTAAATGAGAGTCGCTACAATGTCGCAGGGCAACGTCACCGACTGTAGGGACATTCATTTGCTACAAACAAAAGAAAATACGTTTAACAAAGTTGAATACTTGCTTTCGCCCGCGACACCGTCCGCGTGGAATTAAAAAAATCAAAAGCATGTAGCGTTTGTGTTGTTCCAGACTATGCTCTACATCTATTCCAAATTTTATCAAGAGGCGTTCAGCCATTTAGGATAAAATCTAACAACCATCCATCCAAACTTTCGCATTTATAATATTAGTGATTTAGTAGAAAAAAAAGATAAAACTAAAGTAAAATAAAGTAATTACGTTGTTCCAGATTGTATATATATTGTGTATATCCGCTTCAAATATCCAGATCAGTTTAGCGGATCTATACTTATGAGGCAACATCTATCCAATCTTCGGAAATTATTTTAGTAAGAAGTGGGATAAGACCATGTAATACGATGATTGTTTAAAGAAACGATAGAATGATTACTCTATGTATTTTAGCACAGCATTACTGGGCAGTTTTTAGAGTAGGTCAATAAACCAGTCTATTTAGCTGTATCATTGTCACAAAAGTAACCGTTATGAAGTTTTTCAATAGCTCGCTCTATTACGTTATTATTAAGAAACCAATTATGATAATTACATTATATGTTATTGACACGATTGAATTGAGTCCGATATGATTTGTTACTTACTTATTTACTTTTATAAATTAAGCTAGGTTTTATAGTTTTATACCCAAATTAGTTGTTTATAAATAGTAAGTAACTTGAACATAATATAATTCGATTTTGAAATCTAATTTGAATAAAAATAGTTTGAAAAAAAAATCACGTAAAATATGAGTTCAAGCATATTTTTAGTCACAAATGACTCAAAAATAGTAGGAAAAAAGAATAAGAAAGAAAAAAATGTAATAAAATATTTCTGAAATCTTTCAAAAACATTTTTCGTCTTTTGAAGACTGAAATATTGGAATGTAGGCTAATATTTAACTTGAAATCCTCAAGAATAGTGAACCTGTTAGCCTAGAAAAAATGCATTCAGTGACGACTTGAAGAGATCTCAATTTTATAGGTCAGTAAGCATCCAGCCTCAGCGCGCATTCAAAACTGAACAAATAAGCTGTAACAATGATAACATAACTTGTTACTATTCAATGACTCTGACAAAATTTTATTAAGGACTTAATAATAAAACTTCTATGTGATTTGTTACTGATCGCGAATTTAAACCCTTTTTTATAATTCTTAGTCCAATAATTTACAGCGATCACTGACGTATTTGAGCCAATTTATTTATAAACATAAGGGAATAGTCAATAGTACATCTGCTTAATTAAATTCTTTGAAGTGAATTTCTCTCTGTATTTAAGAATTAGGAACTAAATCGATTACTTTATGGGATAATCTCAATCTTCAATCAATTTTTTAATGAAGTAAATTGTATGCAGAAATGTAAACACATTCTCTTGCTTTATAAAAAAACAATTAAGTATAACGAAATAAAACGACCGCAACAAATATCGCAGGGGATTAAGCGCTTTATACATATTTGTTTATTACCTTTCTCTTTCCATTAAGTGCAGCTTTTTGTATCTCTAGTGGAAATCGTTTTATTTGTATCATATGTACAATAGAAAGTGATCGACGGGTATATTAAAAAAAACAACAGAATGTTACGTAACTAAAGCACATAGATTTTTTTGTAGTGGAAAGGAACAAACAAAGAAAAGACTCACATGATGCTTTACCCACTAAAAGACTGTAGAGGTACCCAAGAGCTAGGCATAAGATAGCAATTTAAACGACATTGATAGAATTTAGAAAATCATAAGTGGACTATAAAATGCAGTTTCATTAAACAACACATAGAAAACTTAAACATTTTTAGTATTTCCTCTAAATGTTCGATTATAATTTGAGTTTAAATATATTTCATTTCCTTGTCTAATAGTAAAGAGTAATGACCTAAGGTAATGACCATATTGGATAGAATAGTGAACAGTCGAATGAAACAAGAGCGGTTGGTAAAAGCAGAACAATTAGAGCGGAGTTGATCGAGTCACGATAGGGATATGCGAGCTGCACATAGAGAGAGCTGGCTCAATGCTAGATGAAATACAAGAATAATGTATGAAATACGTAATTCATCTTTTAATTTCTGCAAACAAACATAAAAATGGACAAAAATCCATTTGAACAGCTTTTTTGAAAACATCAAGTATTCCCGTAAAACGTTGAATCCAACGTTATATAACAGAGTCCTGTTAAACGTAGCTTAGTTTTAAAGTTATGTCAATAATTATAATCCTTTACAGGCTCCATGATTAATTAAACACTAGTTACTTATTAACTAAAAACAATCTGTTATCTAGAACTACTCAGTACACATAAAAAATAAGCAGTTAAGTGCATAGAAGCACGTTTGACCTTGTGAAACTTTTCGCCCATTATACTCCAAGAGAAAACATTTCTCATGATGAAAAACGTTTTCACCGCAACGTAGGTCACGGCTCCGCGAGAGACGTGATAGTAAATTAAGATAAGCTGCCGTCAAACGACAATCGCCACATAATTATATCGTCCATTCGTCGTGACTAAACTGAAATTACCACTGCATTAGAGAGCAGTGAGGGTTATTGTGCATCTACAATCAGAAGTATAACAACGGGTTGCAGCCAGCGCCGGCGCTCAGTCCGCGCCGCGCCGCCTCGCAACGCCGCAGACACGCGAACCGAAGAAAGTGAAAATAACCAAACGAAAATGACAGTGCTACTGCTTGCCTTTTGCGTTTTCAATCTCGCTGCGGCTAATCCAAACGATCACACCACACAGATAGAAAAATACAATGATAAAATGAAGACTTTTCAATTGGATGTACCAGGAAAAGAACCGATTACGATAATCGAGACGGCGCCGGTATCAAATTTAGGTCGAAAGTGGGATCCTCCTGAAGAAATTAGTGACAAAGATGTGGAAATTAAAAATCTAATGACGCATATTGTTCATGATTTTAATGGCAATCGCCCACGTTGTTTCGGTCCATCGTGTCAAGAAGGATTCGATGACAGCATTGGTCCCCAGGAAGATGTCGAAGATATGTATGTACACGATGATTTAGACAAGCTAAGGGATTATCGAGACTTCTCCAAAGAGAGCCTTCAAGCAATTAGTGCATTAGCGGCAAAATTGAAGAAAGACAAATTGTTTGCAGATAGATTTTCATCATTACATGACGAAAGTATAGACGAGGATAACGGTGGAAAAGTATACACATCTTGGAATCGCTTAAAAGTGAAACAACACAAACATCCTTTTGATGATAAAGACGGATGGGTGACATTGGAACCAGTGGCATGGTCTACCAGCAAAATATCGAAATGGAAACCGAATGTTAAGAAACAAAAACCCCATTCGTGGAATGACGAAGAGGACAGTTTTCCTAGTGACGATAAATTCACATCCAACCACGAAATGGACATGAGTTACAACTATCAACAAAAAAGACCAAGCTTGAATCGTCCCGGATACATAAATAATAAACTGCATTTGCCAAATGAATACGATACAGAATTACCATCAAAGCCATCCTGGATGAAACCACAACAGCACACCTCCCATTTTCAATCTTCTTGGGCACCTGATGAAAGTCGCCGTCCTCATAAGCATAACTGTGACTCCGTCGATAATTACCCAAGCGAAGATTCCGTTTACTACGAAATGCCGGATACAATAGTGACAGATTCAAGACCGACGAAGTTCCCACATGACTATGAAGCCCTGCATCAGTCAGAAAAAAGACCGTACAGACGGCCTACTATGTATGGCGGAACATCTAATTATGATGATGATCGTTCTTCAAGGCCTCCGTATGGAGATGGTCAATGGGTATTGCTTTCAACAACAAAAGGGTACAGAAATAAAAAGCGTCAACGATCGTTAAACCCCACAGATGACGAACATACAAATGTTCAATCGATAACAGCACATAAAGCTGTTGGACTGACAGTGTTGCCTGCTGACGAAACTCGTGTTAATATGACAACTTCACACGGTGGTTTATTAGAAGTCGAACGAAGCTTTCAAACAGTAGAAGAATCTAAAATTGAAATGGATAAGAAGAATGACTTAGAAGCTTCGTCGTCGCAGAACAGGCCGGTTAGAACTAAGATTATCAAAAGAAAAGTTGTACCAACTAATGTACCTGATAGTTCTACAGTTTTCGCTGCTGTGGGTGCTGGAATGTTACCAGCGACAATGGCTATGGTTGTCCCTATGATGCTCGGTCGGAGACGTAAGAGAGATTTAAACGCAACACCTTTGCACCTAGACGAATACATTCGACTATACAGAAATGAATAGATATTACATTAGAATTAAGTTAATAATTTATTTGAAAGATTTTAGATAATAATGTTTGTTTGACTGTGATCTTTGATACATATTTGTTATTTATGGTATATTTTGCTAGAATCAAGTTATCTGCATGTTCTGTTTTGTGTTCTTCAATAGTAATGAAATATTTGTACTTAGTACTTAGCAGTATTCTAATTTAAGTTAATTTATAAGTATTGTTTGTAAATTATTTATTTCTTTTATATTTAAATGTACAAAATAATTGCAATTGCATTTATGTCCTTTTTAATTATGAGTAAGACTTTTTCTATACAATCTGTTTTTTTATTACATTATTGATTAAGGACATTGTTGTTAACTTTTGTAGAATTAAAAATAAACAAAAACATTTCTCTATGTGCTTTTGTTTTTGTTTTGAATACTACTGACATTATTACTCAAGAAGACAAAGTGAGGGGTTCGCCATGTAAACTAAATAAAACATCTTATTTGAACTTTGCTTTGTAAAATAGCAATCTTACTAATATTATAAATGTGAAAGTTTAGATAGATGGATGGATGGATGTTTGTTAGAGTTTGTAGCCTTAACGGTTGCACGGATCTCGATGAAATTTGACATAGATGTAGAGCATAGTCTGGAAGAACACATAGACTACTCACTTTTGTTTTTTTTTTAATTCCACGCCGACGGAGTCACGGGTGAAAGGTAGTGTTAAATAAATTGACATGTTCAATTTACTTTTGATATTGACAAAAGACTTAATATAATATAATTTAATTCAGTTCTACCTATACTTTAATTAAATTACCTTTGTAACACAGCTTTGAAGGAATTTTCTTGTAAAACTCTTAAAAACAATAGTGTAGTGTTCAGAAAGTTAAAGTTATCGCATGACATTTTGCACTACAATGTCATGCCTGCGATTCCACTTTCATCAGTTCTCACACAATTAAAATGTAATCATAGGGAAAATTATAAACTATAGCTTAATTGTGGATTTGAGTGTATCATTAAACAATAACGATTCCATATCTAACAGTGGGGTTTCACTGGCGTAGCATGTATGTCGTATTTATATTTGTTGTATTATCATCATCTTTGTCTGCCCACTGCTGGTCATACGCCTTACCCAATGTCTTCCACCGATTGCAGTCTCTAGTCTCCTACATCCAACGACTTCCCGACTATCGCTCGTTCCATTTGTAAAAGTAATATAATATTTTTTAAAGTATAGAAATACCTTATAATGAACGTAAAGGTTTTAGGACTCAGGATGTAAACACGAATAATAAATAAAAACTAAAAGGATTTCATTGTAAAATAAATAAAGAAAACAAGGGAAACGGTCGAACTTCTTTTATCAAACACACAATCAAGTTACCCTGCGAATAATTTAGTTACTTAGTTAACGTTTAAATATAAATAGATTAAATTTAATATTACAATAAGTAAATTGCATAAACATATAAATAGCAATTTAATGTAAACGATTTTATTGTGTACAGTAAGCATTTTGTTCTTACTAATGACTTTTTTTTTGATAATATAAGGTGGCAAACGAGCAAGCGGCCACCTGAATCCACTGAAATGGAAAGCGACCGCTGCCCATAAACATCCGCAATTGTTGATGCGTTGCCTACCCTTAATTGACGGAGGAGACGCACATAAAGAGGAAATTTTCCCTTTCTATACGTCTCCTCCACCGTCAAATCCACTTTTCCTTCCCATCCTTAAAATTGCGCTTTGACTTATTTTGATTAAGATCTGATTTTGGAATCAGTAATATACGAGTAGTAGGTATAAATCAGATAATATAAATATCAATTTTATATTTTATTATCATATTGATCGTTGTTGAATATGGAATGTCTCTAATAGCCTTTTTATATATTAGCACCATAAAGTTAACAATCAACATGTAACTCTTGCACTCTTGCACACTTGATCTCTTAAATATTACGTAAGCAATCGTCTACTAGAGTTCTGGCAGTTTAAACTCCACTAAGGCATAAATTAGTGATCATTTCCACTCTTTCTGCGGCAGTATCTTGTACGTCTACTTAATTATAAATACGAAATCAAATCTTGACAATTGATGTTTTTACACAATTAATATTTATAAAGCTCTTCACCCGGCCTGCTGTAAATGTTTCCATTCTTGATTGCTTCCATCAAATATTTTACGCTTATCAAGCAAATAATGAGGAGCACTGAAACAATAATATTTTACAAATATAAAGCAAACTTATTATTATATTTTCATTTAAATGACTAAAGACAGTATCTGATTAATTTGATGCACAATCACATCTGCTTGGGTTCTTTGGCGGAGGGTTCCGTAGTGACTATTTTCGTCACCGTCAAAATAAACAGACGTTTATTTGAAAAGTGCACAAAATAAAATTCTACTAAAGTTACCTAATAATTACTGTATGTAAAAGAAAACAAAATATTTCTAACCATATGTTATTCTGTCGACACTTATACATACGTACTCAGTAAAGTACCTCTCTTCAAATTAATTTGTTTTATGAATTTATCTATTATACAGAAAAAGGTTAACAATGTTTTATATTTTTTGATCTGAAATTATAATTCGTGTCAGGAAAATCCCTCATTCGTTTTCAATAAGCTACTAATTTGGATTTCTAATGAAATTTCTCCGTAACGTAAAGCTTCAAAACGGAATGTATTGAACGCTTAGTATTCATAATTAAACTCATTCTTCGGCGAACTCTTTGGAGGCAGTTGAATTAATGTAACTGCTCCCAGAGTGGCAGTAAATGTGCAAATTTTTAACAAACGAAACCGTCAATTAATGCAGTAACCATTAAAAAAACTTGTAAGGAATTATCTGGTTCCTTTCACATGCTTAAAGCGGACTAAGGGAGATGACTAATAAAGTTTTAGGGAGAGAGATAGTCTATTTACGTTGCATTTAGTGTTTACATTTTATTTCAAAGTTCATATTTAAGTGACTTGTCTTTTAAGTAACTAGTAACCAATTACTTTAAAGAATAACCCTGATATCTTACTAATCTTACTAATATAAATGCGAAAGTTTAGATAGATGGATGTATGTAGGATAGAGTTTTTAGAATAATCGGCTGAACGGATCTCGATGAAATTTGGCGTGGATGTAGAGTCTGGAAGAACACATAGGCTACTTAGTTTTTTTTTTTATTCCAGAAGGACGGAGTCACGGGCGAAACATAGCTTTGGTCATAACGATAAATAACGATTGCGATATTTGGAAACAAACTTAGCAATAGTTTTTTTTAGTATAAATATTGTACATATGAAGTTTATTTGAATTTTGCAAAGTATTAACACCCGCGTTGTCTAAACATTTGCTTCCAGTCGACTTGCTTCGACACCATGTAAACTACTTTCTCATGCTACCAAATTACATGATTCCTCCATTAGGTGGTTGTTAGTGTGTCGGAAACAACTCACGCGGAAACACCGATAAGAAAAAGCCGATACATTCTATGATGCAAACATTATACGTTTTCATTTAAACCACATGTGAAAGCTCTTTTATTCGTCACAATAAACACGCAAAAACGTTTAAAAATGCTTTAAATATATAATTAAATAAGATTTGCTTTTAACTTTATTATTTTAATGTGTAGTATTCGCTTAATTTACTTATAAAATGTTTTGATTAAATTATTTTAAATATCAACGCGTTCCTAGTTCATATCACATATCCGAACAAAATCTAAATTTATAGTAATATTACATAGAGGAAAGATATGTATTTTCGTATGTATTTGATTCATGCCAAAATACTGGGCCGTTTTTGAATATTCTATCACCATTACAAAGGTAATTTATCTGTCAATAACATAAGCTGTATTTTGTATTGTATATTTAATTTCACGCGGGCGAAGTCGTGAGAAAAAGTTATCAATAATCTGTCAACTCTGTAAAAGCAAAGAACTTACATAAAAAAGCTTTTACTTGTAACGTGTATAGGTCAATTACGGTTTTTTGGAAAAAAAACAAAGGTACATATCTTTAGGATAATCCATGATATTAGAACCTTCATGTAAAATACAACAACACAGGTAACGGAATCGCGAGAAAGGAAACTATACTATACTAGCTTTCGCCCGCTACTACGTCCACGTGGAATTAAAAATGAAACAAAAATGAGTAGCCTATGTGCTCTTTCAGACCTTCTAAATCTATACCAAATTTAATCGAGATCCGTTTAGCAGTTTAGAGTACAAACTCTAACATACATGCATCTAATCTTTCGCATTTATATAAGTATGAAGTATGAGAGTATGACTGTAACTGTAACTTGGAGAGGATGAATGTATTGACAAAAAAACTTAAATATACTCACAATCCGATAGCAAAATTAATCCTAGTTGAATCCATCCTGCAGTAATAGCCTCCCATACTATGAGACCGATTGTTAAAAACAAATGAAAGAAACTGTACACGAAGAATGTCGTCACTAGGCAATTGTTAACCTGGAAATAAAGAGAAAAAATAATTAATAAATTTAAAAAAAGACCGTTCGATATTTGATAGGTTATATGCCAACATATTAAATAATAAAGCATTATTTCGATTTATATATTAGTCTGATAAACTGTATTTATCAACAAAACTTTTATAGACGTAATGATCCAATAAATCATAATATATCTCTTTACATTTTTAATACTTCTTTAAATTTTTCTCACGACATTCAATATAAAATATCTTCGTTTCGTCGATTTAATAAATTTAGCCATACTATTTCGGACGTTATTATTATTTTGGTTTAAAATTGTATTTTAGAAAGCCTACATATCCAATATGACATACACGTATTCAAAAATAATCCATTAATGAATACGTCTGTAGGGAATTAGCGACGTAAATAATTTCAATAGTAATTTGTTCAAGTATTCAGTTCGCCTTGAATACCATTCTCAAAGTAATTACCTTATGTTTCTTTACGTGACACGAATATGTCCGGGAAACGGCCTTTGTGAATAAGACAGGCTCGTTTTTATCGAAATTAAAGTGATATTTCTGTTAACAACCCATAAATAGATTTTACTTTCGAGTACTTAATTACATAACGTAATAAATAAGTATTGTCTTTTCAATACAAATGTAATTAAAATATTTACTTGAAAATAGTGTAAGAATATAACTTCGTTAATTCATAAACCTGTCATCAGCAGCAGTTTTTTTAATTTGTTTGGAAGATATATTTTTTTTTTGTCTAATACTGTTTACAATATTATCACGAAACTATATAAAATTACCTTGTAAGCTCCACAAGTGAACAACGATGCGAACAAAAACAGTAACATTCCAATCACAGCGTAAGTTAGATAGTAAATTTTCACTGTAAGCCTTACAAGGTCCTTCTTCTCGTCGCCAAATATACTTTCCAATTTGTCGAAGTTACTGAACTTTGTCTCTAGTTCATTATCGTCCTTCGAAATTACAGTCAAGCCGAGTTGATAAAGGTTGAATGCCACCACTGCCATGCTTATTATCTGGAATTGGATAAAAAGTTAATTAGAATTTATTCCTTTAAAGCTACATCTTGTAAAAAATAGATGAGAGATCTCTTGTCTGATGAGATTTTTTGGGCTTGTAAAACCTTATAATATTATATATTAGTTAGTTACTGGTTAGTTCTAATATAAAATATTAGAAGTAACTCGATTTACTTTTACCATTCTTTACTTAATTATAATTTTTTTATACAATTCCTAGTAACACTGCTTTTTTATTAGATGCCATGGTTACTTGTCAACAGTGCGTAATTAGATTTACGAAGTAAAAAGATCTCGAGCCACAAAAAAAATACATTACAAGTTGTGCGCCTGTTAAATTTATTATAGCAAATTTTGCCTCGTTCAAAACTTGTAAGCAAGACTCCAAGGAGCAACTTTGCTATTAAATTTTCTTAGGAGAAGCTTACGAACGAAAAGTACTTACAATAACAATGTAGCCAAACACAACGTTCCCCATCCGCAACGGGAAGCAAAAAAGAAATTTTCTTGTCATTTTTGCTTATCATTCGTATTTCTGAAATAAAAATAATGACAAATAAATACATACGTTGCGAAGAAATGAAAACGTACAGCCTGGCATTCTCCACGATTCACCTGATCTAATACATTTATGACAAGTACCACTTAAACGAGACGTGGAGTGGGCACCTTTTTCGCATTATTGGCATTTATTGCCTATAATTTAAGCTCATAATATCCTTATTCCGGAGAGGATTTTCTGTTGACAAAAACGAAAATAATATCTCAAAATTTGTACTCTAACGTTACATGTATTGTCTACGTGAGAATATTTTGCATTCGCCACGATCGTGTAAATGATTGTTTCGCGTTCATTGCTCTCGAAGACTTATGAAGTAAAACGATAAACTGAACTATCTTTTAACCGAACATAGATGTAATACTCCAGCGAAAAACGATGTGCTATTTTTGGGCGCTTAATTGGCAAGCTCGTCCAGAATATAAGAACTTTGCGGTTGTATCTTTATAAACGGGTTGATAGACAACAGATGGGTCTTTGTAAAATGGTAGCTAGGTAACATCGTCATGGTCCGCCGAGCCGGCGTTTTGTTAAAGGATAATGTAGGGAGAGGGTCTCAGGTTAATAACTCTAAACGAACGGGCCAAGGACGAGAGCCGTTTATAAAAAGGTATAAGCGCTCTTCGGCTGAGCGTAAATGGATACTTCAGGTGGGATATATTTGGAAAATGTTTTCCTTCTTATCTAAAGTGGAAGCTTTATATCAGTTCTTATACTTTTATTAGACATTAAATAATTTCAAGATCTGAACGTGGACTGAATACGTAACACATGTTTTATAGTAACTGCGAGTTGCTGACTCAGATGAACAAACACATCGTTGTTAATAATTTTATGAGATAATGCGCGAAATAAAAATTATGTTTCCGTAAAGTATTTTGTTTCGATTAACTCAGCCTTTATTATAATTAAAGATTACGTTACATATAGTTGGGAGATCATATTAATCTTCCTCAAACTGTCTTATATATAGCAACTATCGTAAATACTCCATTGGGAACGCCTTGAAGGGACTTTGTTCAGATTAGAGTAGCACAAAAACAGGCAAGCTTAGTGTGTCCCTAACACAAGGACAAGAGATGTGACTCGACAAGTCGGAGAACAGTAATCTCTTCATACAACTTTTTGTTACAAGATAAGGTTCAACTGGATTTTTGTCTGTATCTGTCTCAGATTAAGAAAGTTAATAAGGCTTTGTAACACTTCATTGTATCATGACATGATATTATTAAAGATGGAAACTATACATTTCTTTATAAAACCTAAGATAAATAAATTACCTCTACCATTTAGTAAAACAGTTTCGGTAGTAGAATTTAAGCTTATCCAAAAAGTTTTTTAAATTATTTATTAACCAAAAGGTTTTACAAACGTGTTGATATTACACTAATCGAAACCAGAGTTTCTTCATACTATAAAGTATAATTGACAAACAGTTCATTGTTCGTATGGAGACAATGACTTGGTGTCGTTGATCCCATTTCTTAAGCAAAAACGATAACCTACCTATGTGTGTAACCAAGCGTATTAACTGTTCTTTGTGAAGTAATTGTAAAATACAATCAAATTTTCAATCGTCTAGGAAACAAAAGAAAACAAAGTTAACTATAAAATCGCAATTCACATTACAACAAATAATTATTACCTGTCAATAACTTATTAAATGTTATTTAACAGCGTTGTAAATCTATTTATTATATTGTTTATTGTCATAACACGTCGTTTATCACATTAATAGTGAACAATATTTAGAATAGATAAGACATTTAATTTATGTATTTAATGCAACAGCAGTGTTACATTTACCAATTAAATTAAATCGTTGCTTTGTATTATTCTCGTTAATCTAATATAACTTTACTAGTTTCGGTTGTCTATTACTACTTTCGGCATAAAAAGAAGCTTAAAATATGTCTATGGATATCTTAATGACGGGATGGGGCGGCCGTACATCTTTGACTGAATTATCGCACACTGCGATTGTCGATAGTTTCGCAGCCAAAACTGTTTAGTTGCACAACTAAAAATCGTGTAGTCTGCGCACTTCCATATAAGTTTATAGGAACAAAGCGAGGCTAAAAAGTTGTCCGATAGTCAAATGTTTGGGCGCGCTGTATTAAAAAAAAGCAAATAAAACATTCTTGTCTGACTTATCTATAGCGATATAATCCGACGGCATATTTAGCATTTCGTACTAAAACAGTATACTTGACAATTTTATGCTTGACTAAAACCGGTACAAACATTATCCAATACATTTGTATACATTTTGATAAACTCTTGAATTTTGTATCGTAAATTTTACTGAGACGTAAGATAACTTCGTGTACACGCTATTCTCACTATCATTATCCTAATGGAGCTGTAAATATTTTATTAGTACTACAATGACAGTCGTGTTATTGTCAAAGAAGTAAAGAATGATTTCAGATTGGGAACTATTGTAATCCGATGTCGACAGCAGGAATAGTAGAACGTTAAAACCAAAGCTGAATCGTATTTAATATTATCAATGTGAAAGTTAAGATGGATGGATGTTTGTTAGAGTTTGTAGCCTAAACTGCTGAACGGATCTTAATGAAATTTGGCATACATGTAGAGGATAGTCTGGAAAAATACATAGGCTACTTGTTTTTTTAATACCACGCGGACAGAGTCGCTAATGTAATATTTATTATGTCTGAATTAACACTTTTTCAAGTTTTGTCTCCGATTAATTTTCAACCTAACCTTGTGAGACATGATGTAATGTACACGAATACGATTTACGATAACCGACATGTTATTGCAACGACTTTGACATTCACAAAAAACCTTACGATTTGCAGTAAAAATTTTTACTTAACTTTTAAGTGGGTTTGTATTGTTGTTAAAACTAGCTAAAAACTTGATTCTTTTACGTATCATACTAAAAGCATAAGGGGACATACACGAACATTTCAAGCAATCGGTATTAGTATATTAAGTGGTCGGTACGGCTGGCGTTTTTGTTTAACTGGGGTCCATGTATGGGGGCTTTATATCCAATAAGGATATTGCACATGGATTCGTATACAGTAATATAAAATAAAAAAA